AGAGAGAGAGAGAGAGAGAGAGAGAGAGAGAGAGAGAGAGAGAGAGAGAGAGAGAGAGCGAGATCTATGCATATATCATGAAATATCCGAGAGATGGCGCGAGTAAACGAGCGGGGAAAGTCACTCAGTCGCGTGCCGATTGGTCCAAATTCCAGCCTCGCTTGATTCCCTGTGAAAAAATTCGCCGCAGATTCGTTTTGCACCGCACTCACTTGACAATGGGCCGCCAGCGCATGCACGCCCATTGAGTTAGTGCAGTCTAAAGTCCACAATCCTTATGAATGTGAGTATTCGGGCGTACGTTATCAGATAAACGTCAGATCACATCACAACGTGATCAGTACCGGTGGTGTTGTACGCGAGTGTGTGTTTTCCACGTGCTACCGTGTGGTTGAACCGTCTGGTCGTAAACCGAGGAAATAAATCCACAGCATCCGGGCTCTCCTCAGACTCCTGTGACTGTTTCATAGCCTGCAATCTATAGCCGCCATTCTTTTTGCCGACTGTTTATAGAAGCGGGCGTGAAAGCGAGTAAAATTCTAGCGCTAGCACTTAGCATCGAGCGCTACATCAGTAACGGTACGTAAATTATTGAATAACCTTTGTAAAATTTGAGCTGCCAAATTATACAGTATGAATGTACATAGGAGGTATCGCGTACCGTACGACTGTACGTAACTCTTCACTGACACTGGATCCACAGGCACTTGGAACGTCTCAATAAAAATAAAAAAAGTAAACACGAAATGTATTTACGACCAAAGTCTTAATGTTTCTCTACTCTATTTCGCCTATTATTGCCGATAATCACCTGTAAATGCCATTCAAATGCTCATCTGCAACACACAAGTACACCGCACGCCCGCCCTGTGCACAAACAACATGAATAAGAGAGTATAGTATTAATAACATATAAATAAACAACATAACAACATAATGAACTCTCTTATTCATCATCACGTTGTTTGTGCACAGGGCGGGCGTGCGGTGTACTTAATTGTGTGTTGCATATGAGCATTTGAACGGCATTTGCAGCAAGTTATCGGCAATAATAGGCGAAATAGAGTAGAGAAACATGAAGACTGGTAGAGACGTTCTTTTTATTGAGACGTTCCAAGTGCCTGTGGCTGGATCGATGTGTGCTAGGCAGCAACAGTAAGTGTAGTGACCCTAGGGGTAACCGACTACGGTATGACAGGCGTTATATAGTTAACGCGTGTTTAGTTGTGTGGATTCAGTGTTCGCTCCTGCCGTTAGGCAGGATGGTGATGCCGTAGCAAATAACAGGTAGTACCAGTGGAACAGAACACATTTATATTCGGTTAACTGTACGGTTATAGTTTTATTGTTTCTTACTAGCTTACAAATAATTCCCCTGCATTCGTATATGCAGCGGATCTGATTACCACTATCTAGACTAATATTAAAGAGTTAATGCGTCGCCGGCTTCGTCTTCCCCTCTCCCGGTCGTCCTTTCTTCGCGTAGACCTAGGTAGCCTCCACGGGTGTCTCCCTCGTAGTCGCTCCTGGCTCTACCGACCTGAAATCCCGTTCTTCTTCCCTTTATTCCCTGTACCCGTAGTTCTACCTACCTGAAAACCCGTTCTCCTATTCCCTCTTCTTCTATCTCCCCGGGATCTAATTCCTAATATGCTTTCTTCTCCTCTTCTTCTTCTTCTTCCTACCTAGCCTGAAAAATAACGCTCTCTCTGCTCGGTTCAGCGCGCCTTACAGGGTTCTCCCTACGTTGCGCAAACGGGGCGCGCGCGCCCCGTTTGGGAAAACTCCCCCCTGTTTCAATCGTTGCGCCCCGTTTAAATTACCTCCGCCCCGATTAAATTCCACCACAATAAAAGTTTGCCAGCGCGGGAATCGGAATCGATCGTCAAGAAGTACGATTCGACCAGGGACGAGGCTGAACTGCTGTATTTTGGTACCGTAACATGCGATGCCCACTGGGCCGCAGACGAATACAGGCAAGGATACAACAGGTTAACAGTGTCGCGAACCCAACACTAACTGTACACCGACTCGGCTATCTTATATATACAAGGAACCCCAAATAGTGCGTATGGTGTGGCGTGGGCGGTGGTTTTACGCCTTGAATTAGGTGGTACCGGGTAAAAAATACGACGGCCGCGCCGGACACCCTAAGTTTCCCTCCCCCTCCCTCCTTCCCCCCTCCCCCTCCCCCTGTCCCCTCCCCCTGTTTGGAATTTCATCAGTGGGTGGGAGACCTGCCCTATATTAATATATAAACCTAGCTGGCAACGCCCCCCTACGTTGCCAGTTCGTTTAGTTATGGCTGGTTGTCAAAACACTACCCCCCCCTCCCACGGCAGAATACTACCGTGGCTGGTACGATTATTGCCCACCATCTGACGCACGTCGTTTCGTCAACTAAGTTACAACTTAGTTCCTGCTCTTTCGACAACTTTTAGACTATTCATTCTATCAGGAGCTAATAATGTCAAAGGAGGTAATGACAGCAATTGAGGTACTGCCATTTCCACTACATTTTATGCGTACGAGTCGATGTGAATAAAAATACAAATGGTATACAAACATGAGCTTATTTTTATGTCACTGCTGCGTACATTATTCTATCTCCGCGGGGTAGTATTACAACCGCGTAGCTTCCTTCGGCTTTTGACATATTCGTTACTTGTTGCCGACACATGTTTTTCACGTTACGTTTACCGGTATCTCTGGGCGAGGCCAAGCTCCAAATTCGCACACACAGGCTGACACAGCTATACTTGAAGGAGGCACGGCAGGGATCGCCTCAGGCAGCGCCAGCGGCAACTGTACGCGGACGGTTGCTATGCAAAACACATGTGCGAAAAGCTACAATCCGCTGGAGCGTCAGTTTACTCATAACGATTCATACACATCATTCCTCCGCGGGTGAAATAGTTCAGATATTTTACCAGCGCAGCGTTTATTTTAAAAAAACTGCGGGATTCAACCATAAAAACAAGGCATTCTAACTATAGTTTAAATGTAAAATAGTTTTAATTTTTAAACCAAGCATGGGTACAACGTAACTTAATTTCTAGGCGAATTTTCTGCACTCGACTAGGTTATGGCCGTAAAGCCCTGGCGCGCCTCCTTCATGTAGCTGTGCGTGCGAATTTGGTGCTTGGCCTTGCCAGAATACGGTAACTAACGTGAAAACCATGTTGTGCAAAAGTACGAATTATGTCAAAACGAAGGAAGCTACGCGGTTTAACGGCGCAAAATAAACTCATGTTTGTATACATTTGTATTTTTATTCACATCAATCTCGTACAATAAAAATGTAGTGAAATCAGTACCAAATCGCTGTTTTACTCCTTTGTCATTATTAGCTCCTGATTCTATTCAAATCTCCTCGTATATTATGCTGACTAATAGTACATAACCACGTTGATTATTATACTCTATATATCGCGTTACCGCTTTTCGCGTATACACTCTTTGTTTTCCCTAGACCCCTTCCGTATGATCCAAGATGGCTGTGCCCAGTTGTTGATCGTTTTATCTGTGCTGTCTAGATTTTAGCCTGTCTTTAGTCAATACCTGGTTATTCTATCTATATATGGCGAGTTCAATCTATCCGTCCTGATCTAGTCTACTGCTCATGTGAGTTACACACCCCCGAAATCTCTACAGTAAGTATTAAAATTGATATGCACGCACGTTTCCGCTTATGTGTTCAGTTCAACGTGTTTGTCAGGTTGTGTCGTTGCTATGTGCACTACTTAGATGCTATAGGATTCGGAAGGAAGTTCACCGGTTACTGCCAACTGTCATGTTCAATCCGTCCATCCATTGAAAAGACAATAATGAATAATGCATTAAAATTGAAATGACAGTAATTGTCACCATGAAATATGCAACTGTTTATGACATGTGATCATATCATATTTTTGTTTTATATCTTTATGTTTGGGGTTACTAAGTGTTGCCGTGGACCATCAACTGATTAATCATTAATGCAATGCTATACTATGCGATGCAGTGATGGTGCACTGATGTACGTGTGTTCCCGTTAAACATTTTACTTGTTTAACTGGTTGGCATGCTACCCCTTTCCTGTGAATTAATCCCTACCCCATTGAATTAATTCTTTCTTCCCTATCGAATTCTTTTTACTCAAATTGTACTAGATACTCTTCGTATTGGAATCAAGCGGCTGGTCTGAGAAGATTCCGCGGATTCACAGATTTCCTGGTTTTGGTTTTCATTTTGGTCATTCTTGAGATCGATGCAAAAAACTAAAACTGAGGGGGGATAAGGTGTACTGGAGTTGGGAGTTGGGGGTGAGGGGAGTTGGGAGGGGTGGCAAAATAACTAAAATTATCTACTCCTGATATACATTTTACTATAATTTGGCGAATGTTGTATGTATGTTAATGAAAGGCTCCGTCAGTTTGGATCCAAATAGCGCCAAATTCACAGAAGAGATCGATGAGTACACAGGACGGGTTCTAAACTATACTCGGTTGAAAACCGTTTGTTGGGTCTTAAACAAATGACCAAAAAAGCAAAAAAAGGTTAGAAGATTTGACCTGAAAATAGGACGGGCCGCTGTTATTGTTTTCGGTTTGTCTGTATCGTGTGTTGCTGTGCCTGTGTGTTCTGAGATTGTTATGTATAACGCCAACTAGATGTAAGTAGAATAACCACGTAATAATGAAGTTAAATATTCGTGCTATTTGGGCCATAGTTCCATATGAGATGTACAAGTTCAATTTCAGTGGAGCAAGATTTTTTTTTTGGAGTCGTGCAAGATCCAATGGGGGGGGCGGGGCGGGGGGGGGCGGGGGGGGGGGGGGGGGGGGGGGGGGGGGGGGGGAGGGGGGCGGGGGGGGGGGGGGGGGGGGGGGGGGGGGGGGGCGGGGTGGGGGGGGGAGCGGGGGGGGGGGGGGTGGGGGGGCGGGGGGGGGGGCGGGCGGCGGGCGGGTGGGGGGGCGGGGCGGGGGGGGGGGGGCGGGCGGCGGGGGGGCGGGGGCGGGGGGGAGGGGGCGGCGGGGGGGGGGGGGGAGGGGGGCGGTGGATGGGGGGGGGAGGAGGGGGGAGGGGGGGGGGGCGGGGGGGGGGGGGGGGGGGGGGGGGCGGGACATGTGCGGGTGTCCGTGAACAGCCGAGCTGTCTAAGCGCTGAGATGTGTCTTATGTCCCCGGCGGTATGGCCGGAACGGTCTGCCGGAACGTTACCGTGGGATATGGTATACCGGAAACGTACTTGGTACTATCTAATTGCTGGAACCGATTACCCTGGCGTACGGTCCGCTATACCAGAAACGTACCCTGGTACGTATCTAATATAACCGGACCGTACTCTCTTGGCCTACTCCATAAAGATCTAGGGCGAGTCGGCCTGTGACCTACGCCTACTCCTACCTAACCCATAACCCTAATCCTAACCGCTAAACCATATACAAAATATGTGACCGGTACGTTCCGGTTACCGGGATCCTTGATACCAGGTTTACTGTCCCGGCAGTGACTCCTGGGGGACATAGACCCTGATGAGCGTCACAAGCCGGTCCGATCAGCAAGCACGATATATAGTTTACTTTCGCTCCGCCACAG